TTTTTTTTTTTTTTTTTTATAATAATTTTTGTATTTTTTTTTTTTTTTTTTTTAAACCTTAGGTTAAATTGGCTTTCTTCTGTTTAACTTTACCTTGCTACTGGCACATATGAGTTTTTCCACTGTGGGACAATTAGGGATAGTTCTATTTTTTTTTTTTTTTACATGATTTTTATTATTATTTTATTTTAGCGGACTTCTGACGTTACCTGATATATAAAAGGGCTAAAGTTACATCCTCAATGTTGATGAAAGTACACTGCTGTTTTTGACTGTGCTATTTTTATTGGGCTATTTTGGTTTGACTGACTGTAAGTCCCGAACATGCAGAATGCATTATATCTTATTTAAAATACTGCAAAAGTTTTAAAAAAAGTGTTAGTCCACAAATATTGCAACTGTGAATGCTTGTTTAAAAAGAGCAGTTATGTTAATAGTTTTTTTCCCAAGTATTAGAACTGCATTAATTTATTTTTAATCCGATGTATATCATAAATGGCTAGAAAGAGGTGTAAAGCCAGAGTTGTTTATTATGCGACAAATAAGAACTGCATTGTGGTCAAAGTTCAATCTTTGTGCCGATTTTAAAATTAATTCACTCAGATCACAAATATTAGAATTTTTTTTTGTTGTGCTTTTGTTTTGGGGGAGTTGCCAAAGAACATTATTTGTTAACTTTTAAGTTATGAATTTCGTAAAGTTGCAACCAATTTGAAAACACAAAAACAAACAAAAAAAAAGGTAACAGTGGTGAGCGGTCTACCCAGATAAGTCTGAGTTCTGCTTTGTGGGTTGCAGGTAGAGCTAATCGTAAAGGTAATGCTAGACTCACTCTGCTGGACAGACGACATGATGGCACCATCATGTCTGCAACTCATAACATTACCTGACCCAACTCTGTTCAGATTTCCCATGTCATATGAAAATATAATGAATATGTTCAATAATGAAAACAGTTTTTTTTTTTCTTGTGTTAAACTGGTTGGGGTGATTTAAAAATCAATCTTTACAGTGCCTGGCAAAACTGTTCCCAGCTTTTTCATATTTTGTCACATTACACACTTAAGTGTATTTTATTGGATTTTCTTGTGACAGACCAAAACCAAACCTGATTGCGAAGTGGAAGGGAAGAAAAAATAAAAAGACTGATAAATGTGGCGTATATTCAGGACCCTTGAGTCAACTCTTTGCTGTTCACTTTTGGACATAAAGTCATGTGCAAAATGGTGCAAGTTTGCTGTTGTATGATCTCTGCAGCTCCCCCAGCGTTACAAGGCTGCTTTTCTGATGAAACGGTCGCACTAGGTTTTGCAATTAAGAGATTAAGAGAGGAATGAATAAAACATTTAAGGTTAAAAACCACATGTTCTTTCTTTTCTACTTCGCAACTATGCACTACTTTGCATTTGTGTCGACATGACTTTCCAACACTTCGGACATTTACTGTGAATTGGTGCTATGTAAAGAAACTGAGCTGAATCGGATTCATTAAATACATACTGAAAACTTACTGAGTTTTATTAGTTTCAACTCTAACTTAATTTTATTTCTGTTTGTCATTTCAGCTGCTCTCCTGCTGTGTGCTGTTAACGCGCTCTGCTCTGACGGCAATACAAATCAGAAATGTGTGTCGAGCTGGGAGGTAAAAGAAAAAGCTTGTCAACATTAGAATGGGGCGTTGATGTTTTAAAAGTGACACAAATCAGGGAAAATGTTTTGATTTTCTTCAGAAATAATACATAAATTTTGAAATATCATTCTTTTTTTTTCTCCTCAACAAACTGAGAAAAATGTCAAACATTATTTGCTGGCTTTCCAGATTAAATTGTAAGTTAACTAATTTTTCCCCCACAAAACCATGTGTTTTAGCTATTGCAGCCTATCCTTTAAACATTATTATTAAACAGGGCTAAAGATTACATTAAACAAGCTGCTTGTGGGACTGAAACCAAACTGTTTTGCAGAGAAGTGTGTACAAATTTCCATGACAGAAATGTAACAGGCTCATTACCAACAGTTACTTCAAAAGACTGAGGGTAGTTATTCCCACGAGGCGGCCAAAACCAATTATGAAGTTTAGGGAACAATTGATTTTTAATATAGGGCCATGACAGTTTGCATGGATCGTTTTCTCAAGAAATGAAATCATAATTTTAAATGCAAAACTCATTTTCATCCTGGTTATCCAGGTTTGATATAAAAATCAGTTTCACCTAAAACATCCAAGCAAAAACTCTCTGAGGGGCAAATACTTTATCGCAACATAAAGAGACATTGTTGCAAGAATTACCACTGAATCCAACAATTTTCTAAGAGTGACATGTTTGGAGCGTCTTTGAGGGGATGAAACGCTGAGTTTTGCCTTCCAGGCGGATTGCTTTCAGCCAGCTCACCACCTGAATGACCCTGATCCTGTCAGCCTGAATTTGTCAGCCAGTAAGAAACTCCTCATCTCTCTAGAGGGCCTACCTAATGATCTTGTCTGCCAGTGGGGGAGAGAACAAGGCCCACTGATGAACATGTGAGTGTATTTTTAGGTTTATGTGCTTCTTTCCTTTATGTGTGTAAAGTTTGACATTTTCTTAAACCTCTCCAGAAATGGGAATGTCTCCATGGTTACACCAAGACTTTCAAGGACTGATTCTGGGATGTACAAACTAACCTGTAAAAGTCAAGAGAAGACCATTTTCTCAAAAACTGTTGATCTTCGTGTTGTTGGTGAGTCATCATTTCTCATCTTTATTAAGACTCAACTAAACAGAGAAGCATAAAACTACCTTAATGTAGATAATTAGTGGATTTAAAATGATGTTAATTTTATTCACATGCTTCCTAGAACGTCCCTCAAAACCAAAGATGTCTCTGGATCATATAAATGATCAATACACGTCTCCTTATTTTAAATGCATCTCTGAGGGTTCTCCAAGGTCCAGTATTGAATGGTCTCGGTAAGACAACTAGTTTCTCTGTTCATATATGCATAGTTTTATCATTTCACTCTCTGACTATCAATGTTTCTTCTCAGTCCATCCAAAAGGGATAGGAGAAAAGACATTGATGATTGGACAGCAGAGAGCTCAGCCACAACTTCAAACTATGCATATAGTGGAGCGATGTGTTGTGCCAAAAATGATGAAGGACAAGAATGCACCCAGCTGTGTGACTTTGGTAATTACATTAAAAACAGACACATATTAGAAAATGTTTTAACTCAGAGTTAACCTGACCAGAGAAGGAAAACAGCTCTCAGAATTATTCTCAAATTAAGTTAGAAAATATAAATAAATGCATTAAATAACCTGAAGTGTTTTATGTTTCAGACTTAAATACTGCTTCAATGAAACCAGACGAGGTTTCTAGTGTGACCATAAGTCCCAGTGAGCCTTTGGTACTTCGCTGCAGAAAAAATGATGATTCTAGTTCTATCTGGGAACATAATGGCAAGGTTTTGGCAGAAACCTGTGCAGGGAATGAGGTACAGTGATGAAAACTCTGATTTTTGTTTTATTGTATCCAAATACAACCACAGATTTTATCTCATTTCAAAAACATTGTTCTACATGATTATGATTTCAATGTTTTTCTTCCAGATCTGTATTAAAAAGGACAAACATGTGGAGAGCCGCATGGTGTATGCCTTCATCAGATCAGTTACCTCACAACACAACGGCACATACACCTGCAAAAACTCAGGCAGAAGTAAATCTGTGGATGTTCATGTTACGGGTCAGTATCAGTTCTTTACATGAACTATTACTGTTATCTTGTAATAACTACCATTTTATATTTTTCATTAATAATATACATCTGTTGAACATTTTAATTTCTTGTCTCCTCAGCTGAGAGCTTCCTCTCCTCCCAGCTGCCTGATCACTTTGTGATAACTGAGACCAGCTCCTGTTTGGCAGCAAATGTTTCCTACCACCCAGTGCTGCAGCTCTGCTACTGGGAAGCTCCTGATGGGAGTTTCACTAAATGCATCAGAGACAAGACAGCAACAAAGCAAAGGTAGCTTTATAAAGCAATGCCTCATCATCTCAGAATAATCATTTTTCAAAGATAATTATATAATATAAATTTTATCATTAAAATATTTTTAAATTTCCTTTTTTGTTTTTAACATACAGTGACATAATAAAAAGGATTTGGGTTTTTTCAAGAGATATGTTTTTTAAATTAAATAATTTATAATCACCCCCTTTATTTGGCTATGTCTAATCCAAATGCATTATAAGCAGCTGCCTTCAGAGGCCAACAAATTATTTACTAAAGTCCACCAGTGTGTAATCCATCATCAGAATAAATCTGTGATTGTTTAAACATTAATGAACAAACAGCTTCATGAAGATCAAGGAACACAAAAGACAGGCCGGTGAGCAAGTTCTCATGCAGCTTAATGAAAGGTCAAGTCATAGGACCGTTTTGTTTTTTTTTTTATTTTCAAAGTGGAGTGGAGAAGTGCACTACAAATCAGTTATTGTGTTTGTAAAAAAAAATACTACAACAAAATCAAATGCCCTTGTGTTTTCACTTCACAGTTATACAAGTCTTTTTAGTGTTGTGTCACACAAAATCCTAATTAATGCATGAAGGTGTGGGGTTGTATCATGAAGAAGTTTTTCTAGCTAAACTGAATGAACAACAATATTCTGACAACCATCTCGCATGTTAGCAAAAACAGCTCAAAACAACTTGCAACAGGTCAATCTTTGGGCCTGTCCTGTAGCCATAGCGTCAACCCAGAGCTCCTCTGTTTAAAAGTATATTAGACCTTAAAGTGAGATCAGTCTGGTCAGTGGGACACAAGTCCTCTACAATGATGTGAGAAAACATAGTTATTGCTGCTAAAACTGGTTCAACAATCTCTTTAATTATAGGATGTACTTTGTTTTTCACACACAGCTCCCCCACTTTTCATTTTTTATTATCATTGGCTGGAAATATACTGTTAAAGCCTCATAAAGACCAGATATTTTTTTTATGTATCAACCCCAAGAAGGGAAATTGTTCAGCTTTCCTTTTACCATATTAACCTGTTGGACGTGCCACTATTTTCTCAGGACTGTGAAGTATTGTGGACCATTACAGTCTGGAGAGTATAAACTACACCTGGAGGCTGGAGGAAAAACGGAAACAAAGAAAACAATTGTTTGTGTTCTATGTAGGAATCTTGTGTGTCATTGTTAAAACGCAAATAAATACAGCATCACCTGTAATTTAAAATTTCCCTTCTAGAGAAACAAGAGCCATCATTTAAGAAAACAGATAATTACCTTTATGTTGAGACTGTGAGTGTCTTGCCTGCTAACTCTACATGGATGATGTCAAGTTTATCATCCGGCAACAGGTGAGTAATACGTAGCAGCTCAGCCATGAGAGATCAGCAGGCCTGATTGTTGAAGCTCAGTGATCTTTGTCTGACTGCAGCTCTGAAACAAACCCATCCTGGGAAGTGATTGAGAGTAATAACCACCCAGCTTCTGATGACTTCTGTAACCAGAAACTCACCGGCAACGTGAGCACAATAAATGTAACGGTTGCAGCAAAATTTAAGTTTTGCTTGACGGACCAAGCTGGGTCCAGGTGCAGTGAGGAACGTTATGAGGTTCCAAACCTCAAATTCCAAGCCTCCACAGGTAAGACAAGATCATTCACCCTCGACATTCATTCAATCACGTTGCTATAGCTGACTTCTGTCACGTTTTCACATTTTTAGCTCATCAATCTTATGACGGTCACTTAATAATGCCACTGAGAATCAGCATATTGGCTCTGCTCTTGGCTCTGACAATAATCTAATTTGTGCTCGTGTGCTACATCAAGAGAAAGGTATGTGTTGCACATGGCATCAACACAGACACA